CTGCCTCCCAAGTGCTGGGATTAAAGGCGTGTGCCACCACGCCTGGCTTTTTTTTTCCTCTTAAGACAGTCTCATTATGTAGTCCTGGCTGGCCTTGAACTCACAGAGATCCACCTGCCTCTGCCTCCCAAGTGCTGGGACTATAGGCGTGTGCCACCACGCCTGGCTAACAAATGCTCACTATCTTAAAAGCATCTTTGATCTACCCTGTCCATGATAAAGTTCTTTGTTTCTACATCTGCCTCTCCCTCTGCTGGGACCAAAGGTGTGTGCCACCACATCCAGCTCCTTAACACCAATTCTAAAACAAGAATTGTATCGAATCAAAACTAACCCATTTTATTGACTCTAAGATGCCATTTTTTGTAAGAAGTGCCATTTTACATAAATTACTTATTTTGGTACCTTGAGACAGCGTTTCACTGTGTAGTCTTGGCTGGTCTTGAATTTATGATCCTTGGGTGCTGAGATTATAGGCTTGTGCCACAGCATCTGGTAAGAAACACTATTTGTTTTGTTGTTTGGTTTTGCTTTTGCTTTTTTGAGACAGTGCTACAGCCCCAACTGGCATGGTACTAAGTAGGCTAACCTCAGTCTCATAGAAATCTGCCTGCCTCTGCCTCCCAAGTGCTGGGAGTAAGTAAAGGCATGCACCACCATGCCTGGCTAAGTCACTATTTTGTTTTGTTTTGTTTTTAATATATTTTATAGCTGGGCGTGGTGGTGCACACCTTTAATCCCAGCACTTGGAGGCAGAGGCAGGTGGATCTTTGTGAATTCAAGGCCAGCCTGGTCTACATAGTGAGTTCCAGGACAGCTGGGGCTACAAGGAGACCCTGTCTCAAAAAGACCAAAAAATACATATATATTTTTTTTTAATTATTTTTATTTTATGTGCCTAAGTGTTATGCCTGCAACCTTGTCATGCATGTCCAAGGAAACTGGAAGAGAACTTTGGATCCCCTGGAACTGGAGTTGTGGACAGTTAGCCACCATGTGGGTGCTGGGAACTGAACCCAGGTCCTCACCAAGAGTACCAGTGTTCTTTTTTTTTTTTTTTTTTTTGTCTTTTTGAGACAGGGTCTCCCTGTAGCCCCAGCTGTCCTGGAATTAACTATGTAGACCAGGCTGGCCTTGAACTCTCAAAGATCCGCCTGCCTCTGCCTCCTAAGTGCTGGCATTAAAGGCATGCACCACCATGCCCAGCGTCAGTACCAGTGTTCTGAATCACTGAGCCATCTCTCCATTTCCTGAAGCGCTGTTTTTAATGCATTGATAAAACAGAAAAATAGGGGCTTGAGAGATGGCTTAGCAGTTAAGAGCACTTGCTGGTTTTGCAGAGGGGCTGGTTGATTCCCAGTACCCACATCAGGCACCCTACCACAGCCTATAATGCCAACTCCAAGGAGATCCAGTGCTTCTAGCCACCCCCAGGCACCTGCATGTATCTGCTCATACACATATACATAAATGAAATTCAAAATAATAAAAGAGAGCTGGGTGTTTTGGCAAAAGCCTTTAATTCCAGCCCTCTGGAGGCAGAGGCAGGCAGATTTCCATGACGTTGAAGTCAGCAGCTTGGTCTACATAGTTTCCTTTCTGGTTTCATGAAATATATTCTGTTTCCCTCCCTTACTCCTCTCCATTTAGACCTCTTCCTCCCTCTCATAATCTTTTTCTACTTTCCTCTCTCACATACACATAGATTCTGCATATGAGAGAAAACTTTCAGTGTTTTTCTTTCTGAGTCTGTCTGACTTCACTTAATATGATCTCCAATTCCATTGACTTTCCTGTGAATCTTCATTTCATTTTTTACATATGAATAATCTGATTAGGATCCCATTGTGTATGCATATATTTTACTTTATCAATTCATCTGTTGATAGATCTGGACTGGTTATTGGGAGTAGGGTAGCAGTAAACATAGCTATGCAAATATCTCTGGTATGCTGATTTAGATTCCTTAAGGTATATATACCCAGGAGTGAATAGCTGGATCCACAGTAGCTCTACTTTTAGTTTTTTGATTTCCACAGTGCGCATACCAGTTTACATTGCTATCAGCAGTGTCTAAAAATTCCTCTTTCTCAACAGGCATGGAGTCTCATTCCTGTAATCTCAGTTGAGGCAGGAGCATCCCCACAAGTTCCAGGCCAGCATGGTCCACATAGTGAGCTCTAGGCCAGTATGGTCCACATTACTGAGTTCCAGGCCAGCATGGTCCACATACTCAGTTTCAGGCCAGCATGGTCCACATTACTGAGTTCCAGGCCAGCATGGTCCACATACTGAGTTCCAGGCCATCATGGTCCACATACTGCGTTCCAGGCCAGCATGATCCACTTACTGAGTTCCAGGCCAGCATGGTCCACATACTGAGTTTAGGCCAACCACAGCTATATAGTGAGACCAGAAAAAAATTCCTCTTTGACTACATCTTCTCCAGCATTTATCACTTGTTTTCTGGAAGCCAGCCATTCTGACCTGAGTAGAATATCAGAGCAATTCTGTTTGTCTGTCTCATGTTGCCCCTGGCTGGCCTCAGATTTACTCCATAGCTGAGTCCGGCCTTGAGCTCCTGATCCTTCTGCCTCTACCTCCTGAGTGCTACGATTATATATGTATAACTCAAAGCAGTTTTTGTTTTGTTTTCTCTTATTTTTTTAATAAAGATTTTGGTGGTGGTGGTGGTGGTGGTGGTGGTGGGTTTTTGTTTTATTTTCTTTTGTTTGAGACAGGACCTCAGTATATGGCCCTGGCTGACCTGGAACTTGGTGTATACATCATGCTGGCCTTGAACTCAGAGGTCTGCCTGCCTCTACCTCCCAGAGTGCTGGGATTAAAGGCCTGTGTCACCATGTCCAATGGGCTGATTTGTTATTTTTGTTTTTGTGTGTGTGTATGTGTGTGTGCGTGTGTGTGTGCATGCATGCATGCATGCATGCGAGTGAATGCCACATGTGTGCAGGTGCCCTTGGAGGCCAGAAGAGGGTGTGAGATTCCTTAGAGTTGGAGTTACAAGGTGTGTAGATGCTAAGAACTGAATTCAGGTTCTCTGGAAGAGCAGCAAGCGCTCTTAACCACTGAGCCATCTCTCCAGCCCTCAAGCAGTTTCAGTTTACATTGTTCTGATGGTTAAAGATGTTGAACATTTTTTCAAATATTTATTAATTTTGTATTTTTTTTGTTTAAATAGTTAATATTTAATATTTTAATAAGCTGTAATAAACATTACAGATTTGTTTTAAATTTACACATACTAA